CAGTTCCGGTTTCACGGTTGTGTCCTGGTTTCGGTGACAAACAAGACGTAGGAGACTGACTGTGCTTTTAAAAAACCACATTCTACTCATCTCACTATTTTTATCAGGAGTTAAACTGCAACGAGGGAAATGGTAAGTAAGAAAAGGGCCTTAGGGATTAAAAATCAAGACTAATCATCAGTCTGGAGATATTTTGAAAGCATGACATTTCAAAGGGGAAAAAAAATACTAAAAACTGAAATCTGCTTTCGAAATTAAACTTTACCTAAACATGGACTGTGTATAATTTAACAGTATTTTCTACATAAAAACTGGAAGGTAAAAATTCTCCATTTTGAATAATTATCTATACTTTATACACACGCAGCCCGCGTACCTACGGAAGAGGAAGATGGTAACGTTCAGCCAAGAAAGTATCAAGACTGACTTTTAAAGAAAAAGGAAAGTTGGACCCATTAAAAACGTAATTGCCTAATAAAGCACATTAAGAAATAAAGAATTCACCTGAAATACTCATTAGAGATTATCTCAAGGAGAAATCCAATGCTTTTAATACTTGTAGGTATTTCAAGTTCCTCTTGTGTTCGTTCCAACAAAAGATATTTCATGTGAGTGGTTTTTCCCCCTCAAAATCCAGTTTTTCAGGCATCCTCAAACCCATAGAAACCAAAGAGGAGTAAGTTATTTGGTGAGACATCTTTCAAACGCTCGCCACAGGGATGGTTTCACTCTTACAGCTTCACTATGTTTAAGGCCCTTTTGGCCAACCTTAAAGCAACATTTTTTTTCTAGCTGCGTCCTGGAACGAGCCACTTCACAGGTCGGTCAGATATGAAATGAGCTCTTTGTTGAGTACAAGGTTTGAATCTCAACAAAGGATTTATAAATCATTGCAAGAATCAAGGGAGTAAACAATGTACTAAAGCCAATTAATGACACTGATTCTCATTGGATGTAAAATACCAGCAGTGTCTCCAGCATCGCACAAACCGAAACAGCTCCAACTGCTAATCACAAAACAACTTCTAGAAGAGAAATACTGTTCACCCAGAGGGCAGAGTAAAGAATCACAATATAAAGAGAAGTTTTCTGACCACTTTTCTTCATAAAATTACGACATTTATATTTTAATATTGAGAACGCAAATTAAATACAGGTCCAGAGAGCAAAAACCAAAAGTCTTTCAGAAGAAGTAGTTTGTACAATAGCAGTTTTTATTGAAAAGGCAGTTTTTGTTTCAAATTTAATTAATCTCACCCACGGCTAGCTAGGAATTGGAGCATTCCTTGGGTTTTCCAGAGCTGCTTCTCAACGTTAGCTCGAACTTCACTATCACTATATCCTGCACGAATTTCAAGGAAGGAGCTGCTCAGAACAAACCCAGGTGGAGAGAAACTGCTGCCAGAGAGGAAATGCCAGTGGAATGGTCAAGTGCAGAACATAACAATTCCCACACCACAAATAACCTCCAAGCAGCTACGGCCGACACGGGTCAGCAAGGCTGGGGAGACACTCAAACCAAACCACGGCGCCGGACGGGCAGGGGAATTGGCTGGAGCAGCCCGGGTGCTCCCAGCACGGCCACCACCACGGGAGAGCTGCAACACACGAAGACAGCACAGAAGCACCGGGAGTACAACTGGGTAAAGTCATATATACATTAAATAACCAAGCAAATCATCTCTTGGAATTCCAAATATACACAGATATATAGAAAAAAATCACTTCCCATAGGTAATCCCAAGGCAGCTCCAGAGAACACGTATATTAAATAAAAAAAGAAAACTCTTGTTTCGTGCTTTTTTTCCTAGCGAAACATACGTGCAGAAAAAGGAGTCACATTTCTGAAATTCCACACAACCAAAGGGAAAGGCAGCGCGTCCGTCAGCCTGGATGCAAAGGGAGCAGGGGAACGTCGTCTGCTACGACGCACCGTAGAAAATACCGTAACCTTGGATACAGCTTGCAGGGACACTGGGCTTCGGCTGGCAGTGCAGTATCTGAGAGGATGCTGAACGCAAGAGTGAGTCATTTTAATGACTAGGATATGGGAGATGATCCCCGTTGTGCAATGCCTTTATCCAGGGGATCTACACGCAAACGTTTGGTGTGTTCCCGTGACGGAAAGGTGTTCAGAACGCTTCCTGCTCGCCACGACGCAGCAGCACTGCCTGCCCTTCTGTAGGGAGCAGGCGAGCAGGAGTGTCCTACTTCAGTAAGCTCGGCTGCAATTGTAATTGTAAATGTCAATTCCTTGGTTTTATGGGACAAAAGACACGCTGGATGCATCTTGGAGAGGGAACTGACTGGCTTAACAAGTATGTTAACAAGGACAAGAAAAACATCACTGAAAAATGCTTTTATGACAACATAGCTGGTACTGTATTTGAAATACTGCTCGCCTTAAGTTTCACATTGTGGCCTCTTATTTGTGGCATTCTCCTCTTTTAATTATTAAAAAAAAAAATCCTATCTAGCTAAGTGTTCAGGAACGGTGGTGGAAACCCACGCTGACAATAAACTCCCTCCTCCCAACATGGCATTTGAGAAGCAACAGCCTTGGCGTCAGCCAGACACTCCAAAGCACTCGAGGATCCCCTTGCAAGCAGCAAGACGAGGCGTTTGCTCCGAGTCTGACAAGGCTGAAGTGCTCCTGTAATTCTGGATGCAAAAGCGAGCGCTGGCTCCCTGTGCTGAGCAGAGCCTCAACACCCCCGGGAATACTTGCACTGGTGATCCGGCCAGCAGCCCCCAGTTACGATGGAAAACAACGTACGTGGTCAGAAGCTG